TTTCTAGAGAATTTTACCAATCCTACTCACTAAGTTGATCTAATATTTTCTGATAGAAATTGGGGTCTTGCTTTTACAATAATTACGTTACCCTTGAAATAAGGCGAATGATCAGACACAAGAAGAGGATAAGGGATAGATAGAGTTTATTTGCTGTTTAAGTACTATTTATAAAATTTGTTTTTTAAAGTAGAACATTATAGATCCAATAATTAAAGGTGGAAAATTGTAGATAGTGGAAGTATTCTAAGCGCAATATTTCATACAATTTTTATTTCAGATTTTTCGATCGCTGACAATACTTCAACCACGACGTACGCTAATGATACAACAATCATTCTTTCAAATAAGGATCGCGTAAATGTTTCCTACTACTTTAACTTATTGGATAATCTGTTCAGTACATCAATTTAATCTAAAAAATGTACGCATATATACAATATATCACAGCTATCAAATGGAACAGCCAATGACTTCAGTATGTCAATACTTTAAAAATACAATAGTTTAGTTGCAACAAATCTACACAAGATAACGTAGGTACGCCTTACATTAAATCTTATTCAACGCTATTTTTCAGAATATCTTGACAAAGCGAGTACTCCCAGAGCCTTAGGCGATATGTGTAGATGAATCCGGTTAGATAAGAAGATTGAAAAGGCGTCATATATATTTTCTATTAAATTATTAATTTATTTTCTTTTATTAAATTTTTCCAATAAATTTATAGTTTAAAATAATATCATTCAACTAAATTGAGGAGAGCAAAGGACTTAATCCAGTTTGCTGCGGTATTCCATAGCTCACTGGACCAACAAAGCCTGACCTTCCTATTGAAAATTAACTTTTCAATAGAGGTTTTTCTATAAAACCACACAAAGACAGGAGATTTCTTTAACAATATATATTGATTTACAAGACCGGAAGCCTCTAAAACATCAAGAAGTATACCGGCAACAGGACCATTGCCTTCACCTAAACCATTGCGAGTAGACCTGATTACATATAAAACTACACCTTCGGCACTATATATATTCTGAAGGAAGACTGAATACCGTACAACAATTTTTGTTTTCCATTTACACTAACAGCCTACATACCTTTTTGAAGCTTGACGTAGTGTCCAAAGGGACGCAATGAAGCGATATTTTCCTACAGAGCAATTCAATTGATTAATGAATTTAATTAGGTTCAAAAATTTTAGGTTCAAATTAAAAATCCCTTTTCCTTGGTCTTCATTTTGTTGCTATTTCTAATATTTTTCTTACACGTTATTCTTCTATAATATTACAAATAAGGTCAACACTCTTAGTGTATGTTCTCCTAATGTCAGCTTACCTACGGACGAGGAATCGAGTTTCTTTTCGATATAATGTGCATGAATTTTCCGTTGCATCTAGCAAGCATTTATTTTACACATGGTCAGTTTTTGAGTGCGGTAGAGGAAGGAAGGCAAAAACAATAAAATATGTACGCATGCGTATTTACATGCAGAGGTCTTGTTGAAATAGTAGAAGTACTTTCTATCTTTTTCTTTTTTATTTATCTTCATTTTATAATATATACATGTATATACATGTATTTATAAATGCGAAATAATAATTATTTCATTCATTATTTAACATTTAATCCATATTAAATTTAGATTTCGATTTGTACATATCCTTCTTGTTGCCAACGGAAATTCAGGAATAACATCAACTGTTAAGTGCTTTTATTTACAAATCTGCAAGCGTGGCTAGGAGGCTTTCAGATTTTTTCTGTCTAACTCTTTCCTTTTCAGACATATTAGGTGTTTGTGTTAATAAAGATAAATTATCTGTCTTATCTCATATGCTGGCACATACAGTTTTAAATAGTTTAACGGAAGTAAACTGCGACATTTGCGAAAACCCTGAAATCCTGCTGAAATAGAGATTTGATACTGCGCCCGAAGGCAACCACGAACAATCGTAATTTTTACACAATGGCACAATCATTCAATGTGAAATTTTGGATCGAACGACTTAATTTTTTCAACCTCTCCGCCTCTACCTACATAACCATTTCTACGAGAACAGAGGCTGTACGTGGTAAGAAGTTTAATTTTTAATGTTTTATAGTGAAAATTGGTTCCCAATATTAGTTTGATATAAACGTTAGCTGTAGCGAATTGTGGATCACTTGAGCCTCTTTTTTTAACAACAGCCCATACAAGGCCATAATTGCGATAAAAACTAGGCCTTTATATGGTTATAAGACTTAATTTTTCGTATACTATGATAAAAATAAGCCAAGAATAATAAGGTTTGTCTATCTATTTGTTAAATTATTTAAAATTTCAGTTCATGTGTTGGTTTCCCTTTCACATAAGCGCGCAATTTAGTAGTTAAGGTATTTTCGTATAACCTCTTTTTTTAAATATGGAGTTTTAAAGTGATGGTGTCGATTTTAATAGTATTCGTTCATGAACTAAAGCATACCAATATATGAAATTTCCCCCCAATATATTAAAACATGCTTGAAAGTTACAGACAGATAGATATTGGAAAGATGCCCATCATCGCCAGTTAGAAATGGATCGTTTTGGTTTCGTGTTAACGGCATAGCGTTGTGTTAAATGAATTTCTATTAGGTCATGTGGAATCCACATATCCAGATTTTTTATTGCGTTGCAATAACACTTGTTTTGGATCATTTAAGTTTTTCTGCAATCTCACAGATTGTGGTTCGATCAGCTCCAATCATAACCTTTAGTTGGTCGTCATCAATCGTATTTGGCCTACCAAAGCGCAGCAAAGTTTTCACTGAAAAATGTTCGGAACTAAATTTTGTAAATCAATTTTTGCATGTGCTTTCTGATACAACATTATTTACATAAACATCACATATTTCTCTATGTGGTTCTGCAGCTCTTTTATATGTTTTGAAATAAAGAGGTAAAATATGACTTATAAACTCACTTTGACCTTCCATTCCAAGCATAAACCTTCTCTGCTACGTGCCTGCTATATATACCTTTAAAGTTAATTATTTAACTTCTAGCTGCCTGAAAAAGTTATTCTAAATACGTAATAAGTTTAATTTTAATTTTAAGAGCTATTTTCCGAACATTGTACTGTTCTGAGTAATATTGTAAAGTATAGTCCGTAGAGCAATTTTTAAAGTGACAAAAAATTTTTTGGAATAAAATATAATGACCATACTACTGATTAGAAAAGTACGACATAATATATGTGAAAAATCTTAGCGTAGAATGGATTCGAACAATTTTTGTTGTGTGCTATTTTAAGTTAATTTTTAATATAATCACACGATAGGAACAATTTCGTCGTCATAAACGGGACGTTTATAGGAATATAGTCATAATTGAGCCCGAGATAGTGAAATTGCAGATATACATCAAGGTCTAAATGTTGTAACTGTTCTTTGATTATTTTTTCATATTTTTAGTAGAACAGTTCATGAATGGGAGTAAACACTCCCTTTTCATAAGATTTTTTGTTTTAATTGTAGCAAATTGATTTTTATTTCTAATTTCAATATTTATATGCCGTATGTACTTATGGACCGAATTTTCACTGTATACTGATTTTAAATTGTTTTTTGTAACAAAAATAAGTGGTTTTTCCTTTATAAATATGTAATAAAAATTTCGTGATTACTTTTCTTGATCGGTGTTTTGGAAAAATATTGGGAGTGTTTATTTATTTTATGTGTTCTTTAAAGTTGTGAAACGTATCCCTAAATTTACCATAAAACACATGTATTTTCCCATGATTTTTTGCACAGTTGTCGAAGAAACAAATTTGCCGTGTAAAAAAGGAGTTAGGTGTAGTGATTTAATAAATAAATAAAATAAAGTTAAAAGAAAAATGTTTCTTCAAGGAGCTTTTAGAGGTTTGTTACATGTTTTGTCTTTGTTTTAATGCAATCTTACACGTTGGTATTTCCACTGTTTATGAAAAATTCTACTTAATTGGTTATAGCAAAACATATTTTATTTACAGGACCAAAATGCAAACAACACCTTTGAAAACTAGAAAATAAGAGCAAATAAAAAAGTTGTTTGATATCGAAAGGACCAACTGATTGACCAAAATATTTACAAATAGTCGAATAATAACAAAAAAAAAAATTATGTACCCAACAAATTCAAATAATTAAACAATAACCTAAAAGTACTTAATGGTGAAAAAAATTAAATTCCAGATCAAAAAGAAGTCATTATTGATTAAATAGCTAAGAAATCCTCACGCTTGAATGACTATGACCTCTTCGTCAAATTAGTTGAGGACAGTAGGGTATTCTGTTTGATATCCTTGTCAAATTATATGTGTTATGTGCTAAGTGGGGATATTTTATAATCAAATGCATTTAGTAACTTGGCTTTAATTAGTAAATTAAATAAGACGCAGAAGCAACACAAAGGAAATTGAGACAGTTTAACTGAATAAAATAAAAGAACATTTCTGATGAATATTCAAAAATAACTGTGAGTGTCAATTAAGTTTTGTTCCTTGAAATAATAAGAGTACTTTTTAAGTATCTAAAGCGTGGCTAAAATTAAGTGATAAATGAGTAAATTTATAATTAAGAGAAAACAGAAAAAGTATATCTTGGCAACCAAATTATAACAAATTTTGCCTATGAAAGAAAAAGCTATATAAAATAAATCTAAATATATGCAATTTAATTTAAAAAACAAACGCGTCTTTATAAATATAAAATTAAAAATAAATAAATAAGTAAAGAAAGAACTTCAGGTAAACCTAAAAATAAGGAACAAAGAATAACAAGAAATATGAAATCACCATCTTTTTGCCATCTACTTTATGAATACCACTGGAAGCCTCTACGTAAACACCTCTCAATGTGAAAAAAAAGCTCAAATTATGAGGGAAACTAAAACTATTTAAAAGAAAATAATGAAAATTTGTGTCTAAATGGGATTTTGTGTAAAAAATTCCAAAACATGAAAAACGAAAACACACAAATGCACAAGACTTAACTCAAATAATGAATAAATAATATCAAAAACGAGCAGTTAAAAGTAAAAAAGACCCATCAGTACACAATTTTACACTTTTTTTATTTTTATTTCTTTTTATAGCTGTTATTGTTGCCATTCTTGTAGTTGTTTCAGTTCGTTTTCGTACGTATTTATCATATTATAACATATTGTCTCCTTTCCAGTAAATACAATATATAATAATGTAGTTGTTGTTATCGTTTCCATTTTAATTTTAACATATAACACAATCTCTTTTACCATGGCGATCTCGAATGTAAAAAATTCACCACTGGAAGAACATCAATTGAAAACTGCTTGATGGTTTTTAATACTTTTTTTATCTGCTTTCTGTTGCTTCTTCTATATTTTAAATGAGTCTTATAAATAATTTTGAATGAGGCCTCGAAGCACTGATCGTAGTGCACCGTAAGCATAGATATTTTCGTGAATACAATATTAGAAATTAATTAAATATTATAAATTAACACAACGTGTGCTTGTATTTACGCTCTTCCCAACCCATCCCTCAGCTTAACATACCTGCTTGCTCCTTCCGTGCATTTTCGCATCGACCTTCTTTTTACTTATCTGCTAGCTCGACTTTCCGCCTACTGGTTTCTATACAAAAACATTGTAATTATCCTAATTTTCTTTCATTCTTTCCCCTACACCCTTTTGCCATGCGCTAGTATCTATTGAAAAAAACCGGCATGTTTTCGGTCATATTTAAACCTTTAACGTTTTCTTGCTGTTAGATATTATATTTTTTGTTGTTTTTGTTTACTTCAATCGTTCACAGCACTTTTGCTTTCTTGAGCTTGTAGTTGAAAGGCTTTTACGGTAGTTGCTCCCCATAATTAGCATGTAAGCACATGTACATGTACAAGGAACGTCAATATAGAAATGAGCTTTAAAAATCCACAAAGTGAATATTGTAATGATCAATTCAAACTAGTGGGCCGCTTGTCGAATTGTTTCTCTATTGTTTTCTCAGCATGGTCAATGCTAATATACAATACTTAAAGTTTTATCATAATTTCATTCAATTCGCCGAATGTAGTTTAAAACAAGTAAAAACACTGTCTTTGGCGGCCTACGGTTAAATACCTTTCATTACTTTAATTAACACATTTACTAATATAAAAATTTTCTGAATAAGCGGTTGTTTAAGAAGCGGTCGAAAAAGTATTCCAATTTAAGCTATTTTCAATAGCCTTCATCATTGGGTCAAAACATATTGTTTTACCAAATTGTCATCAAAATATTTCAAAAATTCCCACCTGTAAGTCGAGCACAAGAATATGATGCAGACAAACGGGTAGACGGTATCAGATATATAAAATTTACCTGTCACCTTTTATTTCACCAAAAGATATTGTTAAGAAAATTTAGTCTACAACGTCGTTCAGTCCACCATAACAATTTTGGAACTTAGCCTTTCGCATTCAATTATATATCTTCATTCGACGAACGTACAAAGTTATTTTCTGTTTTGTTTAAAGTGAAAAAAGAAAATTTAGTCACTTGTAACTTTGTGTGAGTATCACCGATTTTTTCTCTTTTTACACATAAATACTTGATTTTTTCGTAAGGTAATGTGGAAAATTTCAGTCTCTATCTTTTATAATTTACGAATAATGAGCAAGAACACAAACATTTTTTTTTTCGAAATTTGGAATTGTGTTCAGATTACACTTCAATGTGGCCTTGTGCTATGGCCATGACTTAATCTATATACTCCGCAACCTCCTTTTGAATGTTGCAAACAGTATGACAAAATAAGAATACCCCCAACCCTCAGTGGTGGATATAAAAGAAAGTTCGAAGGAAATAGAGTTTTGATAATCTATCATATTTTTGTGTGGGCGATTTTGAAATCGGCCATAAAGCTAAGTTCTAATAAAATTTGTGAGGCTTTCCTCTGGATGTTGCAAACGAACGTACGGTCATTCTTCTTTGGTAGAAGCACAACCAAATGTAATCAATAAATAAGTTTTTTATGGGATGAATATCCATTTGGAAATTTTCAATAACAAAGAATAAATCTTCAAACAACCAAGACGGTTGGATATGCCTCGTGGAACGTTATTTACCAGATAAGTTTCGTTTATTTTACCTTATGACCTGCACCTGTTTTATAGATATACTAAGTCTGTATGGTAACTGCTATCAAACGCGCACGGAAATGAAACTATATTTTACTTTACTGTCATTTAGTTTGATTTTTGGTAATCGCAAGTATACGTCGAGAGTAAAGAGAATGTTGTAATTAAACCCATACGACATTTAAAACCTAGAGTTATACTAACTTCACCATTTAATAGCAACGTACAATATGTGTCAAAAGAAATGGTTGCTCGATATGTTATTCGGAGCCCCTCAGAGAATTAAATATTAAATTAATATTAAATTAATTAAATATTAATTAAATATAAATCTTTAATTTATAATTTATTTAATTAATTTTTAATTAAATATTAATGCTAAAAAAGAGTACGATTTTGCTGAGGCACTCAAAATTTGCCGTTTTGAAAATGTCTTTTAAGGTTTCGTAGTTGCATTCCTGTAGCACTTCTTCGACTAGTGAACGTCTCCCATAAACGATGCTTTCACTATAACAACTTAAAAAAGACGCATGCATCTTTTTAAAAGTTTGATTTTATAGATCGTACACGATATCCATGTTTATTATTAAACACGGATTTCATACATTCTTGCTTCGACTAGTGAACGTCTCCCATAAACGATGCTTTCACTATAACAACTTAAAAAAGGCGCATGCATCTTTTTAAAAGTTTGATTTTATAGATCGTACACGATATTCATGTTTATTATTAAACACGGATTTCATACATCCTTGCTCGCTGGCGGAGCTATTGCTATGGATGTAAACAATTCAATTCTACCTTATTTATCTTTTAAGGTATGGGCATAAATATTACCCTAAAAACATTCCAAGCCTTAGAATATCAGATGGCTGTACACTTGAAAATATACACATCGTATAAACTTTTCTGTAAAATGTTATCAGATTGTCGCTGTACTTTACCCGATACACGAAGAGCAATGGCTAAAAAAAGGGCGAACTTATATGTGTTATACAATGATCTATTGAATTGCTGTTGTTGTATTATTATTCAAAAGATTCTGCCTATTGATCTATAAACATTTGCAGAACCATTAGTCATTTTCGGAAAAAGCAATTAATTTTTCATGTGCGGGAACAAAAATAAATCATTAGGAGCGGAAACAGGACAGCACAGCGGATGACCTTTTAATTCCATAGTTTGAGTGATTAGACAGCCGCTTGTTAGATCCGATATACGAAAGCTCGCAATGTGCGTTGAAACGACAAGATGTTTTGAAGAAGTTTATTGTCGAAAATAATAACTTTTGTAATGGAAATGTCAAATGATACTTGGCATCTTTATTTTTTCTCTTTTTTTTGTTCGCATGTTTTCCGGCCTGGCTCGGCGGATGGGATGGGTCCAAATAAAATGTATTCAGATGCATGATAGGTTCTTGTTTCGCTACAATATTTCATTATTTTAATTAAAACATGCTTACTAAAAATTTTGAAATTTTTGACTACTATAAATCTATGCCCTAACCATACTACTTTTCTCTCGCCTCTCCGACACCCCCAGGAAGTCTTACCAATATTTTAACATTTAATAATGATATATTTCCTTTTTTTTATTTTTCCAAAGAGAGCGTTATAATGAATTTTTTCAATATTACAAAACAAAATTTTCAAAATTAACAATGGTTATTAAACAATTTTGTAAAAAAAAAACTTACCAAAACTAACAACCACGTCGATGCGCATCGCCGCAGCTAAAAGAATTTTTAACAAATTATAGATTTAGAAATAAAAAAAATTGTTTAATGTTAAGAAAACAAAACAAAAACGAAATGTCAATTATTGATTCGACGTCTTAGGGTACCACGCACAAACACAAGCTAAGTAACACGGTGTGAAGAGGAGTGCTCTTTTAACGTTTTATCGATCTTTTCGTGTTTTTTACTCCTTCTTTTACATTAGCTTAATAGTTTTTTTTAAGCTTTGAGATTTTGTCTCCTTTTTATATGTCACAGTTCTTAATAATGAACGAAGGAACTGTTTGTCTAAAAAAATAGAAAACTCCTTTATTGTTTCCTTGTTTAACATTAATAGCTATCTTTTCTTTAATTTCTATTTTATTTTCTTTTTATTTAAAGGACTCTCGTACAACATCCGCAGCCGACCAACGATTTAGCTAATCAATTTACACCTTTTTTTTTAAAGTTTTCTCCTTTTCATCATTCTGTCGTGTAAGTTTGTTCTTCTTGATTTTGGTTTTGCCTTTTTAAGTCGTTTCGCATTGAAGATTGGCTTTCAGAAATCAAAGAAACATTAAGGTGACACTTTTGCACACTTTCTCAGGATTTTTCTTTTATCACGATTCAGCGGATATATCGTCGGAATTTTCTATGTTTTTCCCAAAAAAACTCAACTTCTGTCCCAATCAAAAAACTGTTTTTCTCTCCCCCTTTTTTTTTTCTTTTTTGATAAAAAAAAACTTTTTTCTTTGTTTCTTTTCTTTTTTTTAACAAACTACAATGTCTATTATACATTCCTTAGTGCTTGCAACGCTCGGTATATATTATTATTATTATCATAATTTTAGACTAATGAAATAAATTCTTAGACTAAAAAGAGACATTGAGCGCTAGCAACACAGGCTATCGGCTCTAATTTATAAAAGTACATTATTGAGCCTAGTAATTTTGATAAAGTAATTTATTGTACTGATAATCTGTTCTATAGTTGATTGTAGAATGTCCGTAGGGTTAAATGTTCCAAAAGCAATTCTTCTAGCCAAGGTAAAGTAAAGACAGTCACTGAAAATGTGCTTTGTAGTGAGAATTTGTGCAGAATTGAAGAATTGAAGATGCAATTGTATGACCAAGATGAATTTTCGAAATTGTTTGGATCTTTATTTTTTTAACAGTTGTTGGATATGAAGATGGAGTCAAATGCGGGTTAATGAAAGAGT